CTTGATTTAATTGGTATATCAAAACTTAACTAAATACTGGCTAAAGTATGGAAAATTAGAAGAAGAAGATTAAAATCTTCACTCAATTTGGGCTATAATTGGGACTTTTGAAAAGAGTTGGCCCTTTATTAGTAAAAGGAAAGAATCCAGTATTGATTAAATATACATATTTACAAAATATTTACGATAAAAATTTACAATAATTTCTCTACTCTTTTTATATCCTTCATTACCCTCCAGTAAAGGTTTAAGGTAATGTTATCATATCCAAAAGAGCCAAAAAATTATAAAGTAAAGTCAAGGCCTGCCTTTTTAATATATAAATTAATAAATTTTGGTGGTACTTGGTTATCAACTTGTACATTAATTAGTTTTATGATTTCTTCCTTTAAATCGTCATTTTCAGTACATATATTTTTTATTCTGATAATTTGGCTATTAAACGTGTTTTCTATTACTTTTCTAGAGATATTAGAGTTCCAATTAATTAGTTTAATAGTAAGAAAATGGAAATTCCTTCTTTTATCAAATAATTTAATTTTGTTGTGTTTAATAATTTGCAGGTCTAGGAATTCAATAGTATCTTGATTCGTATTCGTTTTATTAAGTGTTAAACTATTTGGGTAAATTTTGAATTTCTCAAAAGTAGAATTATTATTCAAAGTTATAATATCATCTATGTATCTAAAAGTGTGAGCAAATAGCTTTAATTCATTTTTATTTAAACTGAGTTGGAATTTATATTCAAATGTAAAAAGAAATAGGTTACAAATTTGTGTAGAACTGTTTGCTCCTATAGGAATTCCTCTAACTTGCTGAAAGATCTTATTATTGTATTTAATGTAGTTATTAAATAATGCACAATTCAGATAAGTATTCCATCTTTCAATACAAAGGATGTCAAGTATGTCAGGAAAAAGTTGTGGGAGTTGCATTAAACTAGTAAAAATTTCTTCTAATGGTAGAGAAGTATAAAGGTTTTCAAAGTCATAGCAGTTAATGTTCTTGATTGTTAAACTTTAAAACTGCTGAGAACTGGAGCATTATTATAAATAATCCAACTATAATTGTGTTGTTTGTTAACAAGATGTTGGATTAAATTACAGATTTTTTTAAGTATAATTGCAAATATGTAATCTATATTCTTTTTATAATTATTTGTACCATTAGCAATAAATCTAAATTTGAGTGGTGATTTATGAAATTTTGGGAGAGCATGTAGATTTGCTAATCTATTGTAGTTAGATGGTTGTGAAATTTGCAGTTTCTTATGAAATGCTTTTAGCTTTTTTGCAATAACATTTTTTTGTAGATTGGTGAGTTTGTAAGTATTGGCATTATTGAGTTCAGTATTAATTAATGAGACATAAAAAATTTTCATATTATGCTAAAGTTATTATTGGCTTTGTCAATTTTGGTAATTATGAACTTTTGTTTTAAATCCTGTAAAAGAGGTATGAGAATATTTCACTGTAAATGGCTATTAAATTCAATTCTTCGAATTTTTTGCTTGAATTATTCTAATACTGCATGTTTCCATGCCATAAAGGTAGAATTTGGAATATTTAATTTGAAACTAGTTATAACTATAAATTCGTCTATACTTTTTACGAAACTTTTAAAACTGTGATGTTTGTTAATTTTTAGTACTGGTCTAAATTTGGTACCTTTTTTCATTAAAATTCTTAAATGTTGGTTTTGAACTATTGCTAAATTGCCTGTTATAATATGTTGATGAAATTTATCTATGAAATCTTTGTATTGAAGCTCTTTACAGTATCAATGGGCTGTAGTAGCTAATTCATGGTGGTTAATTAGCAATTTACTGAGAGGTTTTTGATACTTGAAAGCTGGTGAGATCTGTATTTTGGTAGCTGGAAAAAGTTGTTGAATTTTTCTGAAAATTTTGCTAAACTGAATATGATCATAGTTAGGATGAAGGAAATTGATTTTGCAGTAATATTTATTGTATTTGTTATTTGTAGAGAACTTATAATTGCAAAAGTCAATAATAAGGTCTTTGATAATATTGTGCCCTGTAAAATGCTGTTTTACAAATTTTATTAGTAATTTTAAGAAATTGTGCTTACACGTATGCAACCAAGTAATTATATTTTTAGTGAAATTATCAGTAAGAAAGTAATTATTTATATTATCGTTTAACTTTTTTTTGTATCTATTGTTGAAAGATGTTTATGTTTATTACCTGCTCTGGTTCCTCGTAATGTTTTTTTTTTTACTGAATAATTTAAAATGGCTGTAAGTTGGAATTTCAGAATTTAATTTAATGTGTTGGTTGAATGTATTGAGTCCATAAGGGTAAAGTGTTTTGAATTTAAGCATGTAGAGTGACTCTTGAAATAATCTAATTTTGTATTCAGGTACAATGTCCAAAATTTGAATATTAATTTTTTTGAAATCATGTATTTGAAAATGTTCTAATTCAGCTGTATTAAGTGTGCTAAAATTAGTAGTTGCAAATTTTTTAATGTGTGCTCTGTGGTTGTTAATTCTAATATTAAGACTATTTTTAGTTTGTCCAACATATTTAAGATTTCATGTGTTACAAGTGATGAGATAAATGCAATTATAAGTTTTTCAAAATGCGAGTTGTTTAGTGGCTGTGATATTAAAAGGAATATTGATAACTTTACAAGTAAGTCATTTACTAGAATGACATTTATGGAAATTTATGTGATTGATATGAGCCGTTATAAAAGTAAAGAGGGAGCTAACCTACAATACAGTGTATTTTTAAAGTAAAAATTCTTAACTCAATTTTTGGACAGAAAAATTTTAAAAAACTGGGAATTTAAATGTTATTGCTAATTAATTCACTAACTTAATAAAAAAGAACTATTGTATTAAACTATTTAAGTTAATTAAACTAAATTATTTAGAGAGCGAGTTTAAAATAAAAACAAAACTATTAGAAAAAGAAAAAGAAAGTTGTTTTTAATAAAAGAGAAACAAACCAGGTAATTAGCGCTAAAGCTGCTAAGTACAAACAAAATTGTTTCATAAGAATAAATTGAGTTTAATTAAAAAAATTAAATTTAAATACATATTTAATTAAATATTCTTTGCACCATTGCTGCAAGGAAGGAAATTTAAATTTAAACAAATTTAAATTCTTAACAAATACGTATAAAAGTAAAAAGGTAAAAAAGCAAATTTAAATTCTAAAAAAAGGAAAAAAGCCAAAATAATTTAAAATAATTTAAAAATATGCAAACATGTAAAAGATTTAATTCTCGAACTAATCTACAATATCATTTAAATTCAGAAGCATAAGCAAATCAAGTGCACTTAGTTTCCTCTTCTGGCATATAGTCTATTATAGTTTTCTTTAATTGAGAAGGTTCTCCATTGTATAATTTTCAACACTATCATCCAGATTCAGTTTATTTTCTGTTTGAAAACTGTGGCGATTTTTTTTCATTCCTGAAATCAATATCAAACTTCCAAAAATTTCTATTTTCTGTATTTAAGTTTTCTGCAAGAGCTAATTTTTAATCTGCAAGATTTTGGTGAAAACTAAACAACCGGAAGTGGTAATTTATTCTTAGCCCTTGAAATTATATTAAAATATAACTCAACACTTTTTATTTTAGTATTTAAAGACTTTTATATCAGTGGGAACAACATACAGTCAAAAGTCGTTAATCCGGACTCGTCGGGACTTCGGCGATTCCGGATTATCGATTTTTCCGGATTATAGATCATCAGTTTAAATCTGGTAAGAAGGCACGCAGAAATTCTAAAATTAAAAATATGAAACCGTAATTTATGAAATAAAGAACAATTATGATCTTAAAATGTATCAAAATTTAAAAAAAAAAAAAAAAAAAAAAAAAAAAAAAAAAAGCTTAATATTTATTTGTTTACTTTATTAAACATTTCTTTCAATGTAAGTTGTTTAAGTTGCTTCGTTTTATGTGATAATACTTTCTCTTTAATTCTATTAAACAGATATAATTTCTTGTTCAGTTACAAAGTTCTGCTGTTCAAGTCCCGTAATTGCTGTGCCGAGAATACCGACTAACTCGTCAATCGAAATTTTTTCGTTTTCACTAACCTCTCTGTCACCTTCTTCATGTCTTTATCCATTTTTTGCAGCAATTTCACTTTTTGTTTGATGAACATCGAAACATACTTTTGTTCTGTAGATCCTTTGGGAGCTCTAGCGTCAGAAATTCTATTTGACATAATCGAAAGTTCAAGTTTACTTTTATAAAATTGCTCTTACAGTCTGCAAAAAATAATAAGTCGGATCCAATTCGAAGATTAAGGAACAACGCAATTATCAACATTAACTGAAATAGATAATTAGATAATTTTAGCTTATACCTTCCGTTATACATTAAACGCGCACGCAAAAACGTATTCTGCACTTGCGCACACGCATATGCGCAGTCGTAAAAATCTTGCGCACACGCGTAAATGCCTATGCACATGTGTCAACGCGGCGCATGCGCAGAAAGTTTTTACTTTTGAGGTCCGGATTATAGATCATTCCGGATTATGGGTGTCCGAATTAACGACTTTTGACTGTATTATATTTGGGCTAAAATGGATAAACTGAAAGTTGTACTTAAAACTGGACAGGTTTTCACTTGCCTTGATTCATCTTTCAGATTGGACTCCGTAAAACTTCACAAATTGCTCTGTACATGAATATGGTTAATGATGTAGCTTTCACTCTGTTCCTATTCTGAGGTGTGGAAAAACTTGTACCAAACCCTATCTCTCCTTCTGACCCCTATATTTGCCTTGCACATAAACACTATAACTTCTATTTTGTTCATCCTAACAACAATACTTTGACAATGTTGTATGACTTCTCATGAAACTGTAGTCGTGAGATTTTTATTTTTATTTGTTGTATTTTTTTACGTTTAACTACTGTTTGCTTACTATATTTATGTTCATGTATGTTCAGAACTTTTATAATTACTAACCATTGACTGTATATATCTTATTTGTATATTCTGTTTTAGGTTTCTGTGAAACTCAAGTAAACTATGGCTTCTAACATATATTCATTTTATAAGCAAATACATCCACCAACAGCAGTTGAACATTGTCTGTATTGCAATTTTTATAATTTCTCAGAACAAAATTTGGTAATAGCAGGTGCAACTGTGTTGAGAATTTATCGTCTAACGCCAGAAGCTGAGGTAAATTTTCATTTATTTTTAACCTATATGTATGTGTTTATATATACAAAATTTAAAAATAAACAAATAAAAAATAATAAATTTAAATTTATATTCCATTGAAACAGCAAAACAGAATAAAAAACAAACAGTGTGTTGAATAGAACTACTGTATAAAACTGATGAAAGTGATATGCAAATGTAAAAAACTTTTAAAAATATTAAAGTATGCCATAAAAATCATAAAGAGGTTATTTACATTTCCCTTGTGACATCTTTATCAGGTACTAGTCCCCCAATAAATGTAAAAATCAATTTGTTTCTGAACAAACTAGGTGAGTAGGAAGGTCAAAAAGTTTAGTTACAAACAAATAAATACAAATTTTACAGTACTTACAGTTAATATAATATTTTTGTCTCATTTTTCATTTAAAGATATGTTAAAAGACATTAAAGACATGCTGAAAGTATTCCCATTCACTTCTAGGCATATTTGAGCGTATTACAACATGATGGATGATACTGTTTGTAGGATCTGCAACAATGATATTATGAATAATATTTGTGATGCTTTCCTTGAAGTCCAGAACATGTGGATTGCTAGCATACAGTTTCTGATTTAAATCTTTCCAAAAATAAAAACTGAGTGTGTACAAGGTGCACAAAGCATCATGGCTATAACCTCTTGCTTATGTTCACAAATACCTAGTACCTAGAAATAAAATTAGCTTCTAAACATTATATTCAGAATCTCATTTTGGAAACACATCAAAAAGCTCAGTTGCAGATAGAAAGAAATTAAGACCTCCACCCTTCTGAAAGTCTGAGACATTCAGCAGCAGACTGAAAAGTCTCAAATAGATCAACTCAAGAATGCCTTAGAAGTTGGTGCATCACAAATGACGTGTTAGTGAGTGCTAAAATCTTTGAACCTCAAATTATGGCAATCAGCATACATTTGAATGTAAGGTTTATGTTAATTAACCATTTATTATGATTTGAATCTTTACTATAATTTCTTTACATAGTCCTCACTAGAATGCATATTAGATGTGTGAGTATTTAAGCCGAAGGTTTGAATATTTTCAAAATAGAGCTTTTGGCACTCTCACTTGAAGGGTATGTCCTATAACCAGCTCTATGAAAATTTATTTCCACTCTAGGCATTTTGCTAGATGAAGTTAAAAGTGCACAATTAAATATTTAAGACCACTTTGTGTAGTCTCTGACTACAATGCTTGAATTTCAACATATGTTATTTTGACCCTCCAAGCAATATGGGTTTAGCCTTGAAATTTTTAAGTTCCTAAAAAATGTCTTCAACAAATGGTATTTTCTTGATTATAATTAAAAAATATCCCTTTCATTTTGTACCTCAATTCCTTTTCTTACAGTGTACATCCAACCTGAGATCGGATACATTAAAAGCTGGCAGAAATTTTCATATGTAATGAATAAGAATATCACACATCTATATGGAATTTTCTGTCCATAATACTGAGAGAGTTAAATACCCAGAGTTTTGTTTTGTTAGCACAATGTCTTTTGTTAAATTTAAGAAGTTAATACAAAAAGAAATGCTCTTTAAACAATTCATGAATCCATGCCAATGAGTCACCTGTAATGAGCCATATAACCCCATCTTGTAAAAAAGAGCAGTACATTTTTTTTTTTTTTTTTTTTTTCTTTTGGTGTCAATCTTAAAATCATTCAAAAAGTCCAGGTAAATCATAGTAATTCACACTTAATTGGGCGAAAATTGGACATATTATGCATCAAATGCCAGTTTTTTGGTTATGAAGGGGAGTTTTGTTCGTCAAACTAAGCTTATCAGCAGACTCAGTACCTTGCATTCTGGGAACTTATACAGCTTATTTAATGAAATCGTCCATCATGCAGTTTAGTAATGGGTCAAAATATCTACAGCAATTACATATGATAATTTATGTTTTTAGTTTTGTTTGGCACTTTCATTGGCATGTATGTTGATTGCCATAATTTGAGGTTCAAAGATTTTAGCACTCACTAACATGTCATTTGTGATGCACCAACTTCTAAGGCATCCTTGAGTTGATCTATTTGAGACAGTCTGCTGCTGAATGTCTCAGACTTTCAGAATGGTGGAGGTCTTAATTTCTTTCTATCTGCAACTGAGCTTTTTAATGTGTTTCCAAAATGAGATTCTGAATATAATGTTTAGAAGCTAATTTTATTTCTAGGTACTGATTGTAAAAGAACTTAATAGTTCCTTAATTGTTCCTGCTTTGCATATGTACAATCCTGCATATATATGTACATTATTACATATATATGCATAGGCATCGTGCAATTGTGCACAATACAATATCATGCAATTGTGCATAAATACTTATGTGAGCATAAAGATCAAATATGTTGCACATTATGAGTATCACACACACAAAAAGAAATCACTCTTTTCTGATTGACTCTTTCTATTGTAAAATCCTGCATATATATGTACAATCCTTTGGCCTTGTACAATCACTATTTACTGTTCGATGGAGAACATCATCTTTCTAATGGCATAGAACTGAACAGAAATGTTATTTAGTGACACCAAGTCTGCATTTGTTATCTCTAAATAAAGCAGAGAGCAAGGCAGACTCTCCCAAAGAATATTTGAAGGTAAGATACTTTTTTATGGCTCACTCTGCGTTTGTAAAAATAGACTGTAATTCATGTATCTTATAAAAAAGGTAACTTTTTTTATTCATTTGGTGTCCATCAAAATTCAAAACATCTTCCCAATATTTTGGCTGTCCAAAGATAACATAAGACCAACACTCACTGATTTTAGAAATTAGAAAAATTTCTTACGGAAATACATATTAACATAAAAAAGGCTCATGTATTCTATAAAAGTTTATCAACTGTTATTATATATATATTATTCACTGATTTTTAGTAGCTTTTTTATTTAAACTTTTTAGTTCTGATAAGAAGGAAAAAATATTGGATTTACATAATCAATTACAGTCAAAAGTTGTTAATTCAGACACCCATAATCCGGAATGATCTATAATCGGGACCTCAAAGCTACAAACTTTTTGCGCATGCGTCGCGTTGACGCATGAGCGTAAGACCTTTACAGCTGCGAATATGCTTGTGCACGTGTGCAAAATGCGTTTACGAGTGCACGTTTAATGTATAACGGACGGTATAAGCTAAGCTAAAATTATCTAATTATCTATTTCAGTTGTTTGTTTAATGTTGCAGATTGCGTTGTTCCTTAATCTTCGAATTGGATCCGGCTTATTATTTTTTGCAAACTGCTAGAGCAATTTTATAAAAGTAAGCTTGAACTTTCGATTATGTCAAATAGAATTTCTGATATATATTTACTAATATGTAAAGGATTTACAAAGCGAAAGTATATTTTGAAGTTCATTAAACAAAAAGTGGAATTGCTGCAAAAAATGGATAAAGGCATATCCTTTGTTTATCTAAACTTTGTTTATCTTTAATGCGGCGGCGGGCGCGCAGTGAATTGGAAGTTGTTCTGTCAGCACTATCCTTATCTTCAGGGCAGATGTTTTTATTTTATTTGGCTTATAATTCCTTACTAAATGTAGTATTTCATCTCGATGTACTCTGTCTTTGATATGATTTAAATCAAATTCCTCGTCATTATAATTCGCTTCCGATAGCGAAGAAAGTGACAGAGGTTATTGAAAACGAAAAAAATTCGAATTAGTCGGTAGACACAGCAATTATAGGACTTGAACAGCGGAACTATGTAACTAAACAAGAAATTATGTCTGTTTATAGAATTAAAGAGAATGTATTATCACGTAAAAAACGAAGCAACTTAAACAACTTACATTGAAAGAAATGTTTAATAAAGTAAACAAATAAATATTAAGCTTTTTTTTTTTGTAAATTTTGATACCCTTTAGATCATAATTGTTCTTCATTTCATAAATTACGGTTTCATATTTTGAATTTTTATAATTTCTGCATGCCATCTTACCAGATTTAAACTGATGATCTATAATCCGGAAAAATCGATAATCCGGAATCGCTGAAGTCTCGACGAGTACGGATTAACGACTTTTGACTGTATATAAAAAAAATAAATGTGTTAATAGTAAAAGTCATTCTGTGCTTGCTGTTAATTTCAAATTAAAAAAATTCCATGGAATTTGAAAAGCAAAAAATGTAGCCTGCATGCATAAAGAATCAATTATTACAGTAATGTTTGATATGTAAATAGTTGTCGCATGTTTTTTGAATAATTAATTTGGTACTTTTCTGTTATTCACCTGCCACACACTTTAATCGATTTTTCAATTGTAAACAATTTCTAGGGATAAGAATAATTTATTATTCCAAAGATTTGTTTTCATTTTTAATTACTAAAAAATATGAGCTGAAGTGAATGAAGACACTAAACGGGAGACATAAATTTACAAATATCCACTAGTGTGTCAGAAAATATTTCAGTCTTTGGATTTAAGCAGCCTAAGTGAATTCTTCAAAATGTTGACAGGCAGTGCCTCTTTAGCATTTGTTCTGCCATTTTTTCTGCCCTAAAAACGTTCAGTAGATTGGGTATGACAACTTGTGACTGGGCCAAAAAAATTAAATGAATAATTCATTGCGAAGTGATCATATTCTGCTGCTTTTAACTCGGATGATTTATAACCTTTCCAGCAGTCCGAAAATATTGTTCTGTCTGCCATTTTATTCTCTGTCACATCCATTAAAATCTTGGTACAGGAATCTGGAATAGTAACTAGGAAGCATTCTTCTGTTTCTTGGTACAAACCTCCAAAAACCCACTGTGGGGGTAATATGTTACCTATGCTATGTTTCCGTTTTGTGAATAAATGTACATCAGTTTTGATGATTTTTGTCAGCAGTCTTAGTTTTAAGAGGAGGCATTAAGGAATTGCAACAAATCTCTCAAATAATTGTTCCTATCCATCATGGTGTTGTGATTTAATCGAAGCTGTCATTCACAAAAATCAATGGAAGTCACCTATTCATACCACATATAAATAAATCATAGACTAGTGAAAAACGAAATGTGTGAGTTTTCAAACCACATTCCTTTTTGGATGCCTTTCTGTTCTTCGTTTGACTGAAGATCGCAGAACAATTTAACCTCCAGCAAATACAGTCAAAAGTCTTTAATCCGGACATCCATAATCAGGGATGATCTATAATCCGGACCTCAAAGTATATAACTTTCTGTATATAACTTTATCGCTGTATATAACTGTCTGCGCATGTGTAAATGCATAATGCGTTTACGCATGCACATAATACGTTTGCGCATGCTCGTTTAATGTATAACAGACGGTATAAGCTAAGCTAAGCTAAAATTATCTAATTATCTATTTCAGGTAATATTGCAGATTGCGTTGTTCCTTAATCTTCTAATTGGATCCGGCTTATTATTTTTTGCAGACTGTTAGAGCTTATAAAAGTAAACTTGAACTTTCAATTATGTCAAAAAAAATTTCCGATTTTGGAGCTGCCAAAGGATCTACAAAGCGAAAGCATGTTTCAATGTCCATCAAACAAAATGTGGAATTGCTGCAAAAAATGGATAAATGCATATCCTTTGTTTTTCTAACCATTCCGAAATCTGTTTATCAATTTCACACTGCTCTGCGGGGAGGGGGAAACGTCGCGGCGCACAATGAACTGGAAGTTGATCTGTCGGCACTATCCTTATCTTCAGGGCAGATGTTTTTATTTTATTCGGTTTATAATTCCTTACTAAATGTAGTATTTAATCTCGATGTACTCCATCTTTGATATGATTTAAATCAAATTCTTTGTCATTTTAAATATCACAAATAAACATCAAATAGTTTTCTGGTTGCAATTTTCTAATTTTGACTATGCGTAATGTATGCTTTACGCATGCGCGTTGAAAGAAATGTTTAATAAAGTAAACAAATAAATATTAAGCTCTTTTTTTGTAAATTTTGATACCCTTTAGATCATAATTGCTCTTTATTTCATAAATTATGGTTTCATATTTTTTAATTTTATAATTTCTGCATGCCATCTTACCAGATTTAAACTGATGATCTATAATCCGGAATCACCGATGTCCTGACAAGTCCGGATTAAAGATTTTTGACTGTATATAACTTTCATCAAATGTTTTATTTGAACTCAGTCTTTCTATAAGTTTATAAATAAGACCTTTATCTTGAAAGAATGTAATTACCATTTGTTTGTTGTTCAATAAATCTCAAATTTTCAAGTTCATTGCTGTAAAATACAAAAATTAGACACACAAACCAATGAATTTAAAAGAAATGAATTGCACAAGGGAAATGAATCGACAAATGGTTTAGTACTCAGATATAGATGAATAGTTTAATGAATTTTAACTAATTCATATTTCAAATGTTAAACATAGTATTCTTTTCTGTTATGCACCTGCCATGCTTTTTGACGCATGGCAGCTTATGATTTGTTGGCCATCATTTGTATTTGTCATCTATAAACCATTCTAGACTGTTTATTACCATTCTAGACTAGAGACTGTTTAAAATTAAAAAATCTAGCAAAATATGTGGCAGGCACATACTGGAAAAGTACCATTAATTTTATGTTTAATATTTAGTTTAATTTTGTAAAATTAAAAGCTGATAAAATTCAACTGATCATAAGATGAGTTAATTCTTCGTAAATTCAACTGTTAAACAACCTGCCAGTTTTGATATTTTGCTTTATTGTAGCATAATTGAAATAAGAACTGTTTAGAAAATAATTAATAATAATTAACAAAAGTTAATTTATATTTGTAATGTGCCTTTTCAAGTGGATGAACTCTGGAAGCTATTCCATTAAACTCTGATAATAATTCATTCATTTGATTCATGATAGTTTTTTATTTAATTGGTTAATTTTTGTAATTTTCCCATATGTAGCATCAGTATAAATAATTTTCCTTAGAAATCTGTAACAAAGTCAACATTAAGACACAATAACACGCCGAATAAATACTAATAAGGAATAATAAGGAATTATTTCCTATCTTGTTCATTTGCGGTTTAGCTGAGGATGGTGGTTCGGTAAAACCATCGAAACTAGTCCTGTGAAAATTTTGTAAATATAACGTTGATTTTTGTTGTTTGACTTCTGAATTAGTAAAGTCAACATTCCTAAGATAAGTTACTCTTCAAGTGGTAAATAAAAATTGGTCCCTGTGTTTCATTAGGATTGTCTAACTTTAAATTGGCTTCTTTCTCAAAAATGTAAGCATGAATACATGATATTACAATAAATTAATTACCTTTTGTTAGAGCAACCTTTGCAAGCACTTTGACAAAATTTGGTGATATTTAAATTAACTTGAAAACATTTATTTATCTTTGTGGAAACCATAATTTGGCAGCTGCTGCTACAATAGAACCAAATATTGGTGCTTTCTGATTTTGACCCATATTTAACTGCTTATTGCACCATCTGGTGGAAATTTATTCTTCAACCCAAAATGTATGAAGTGCAAAAGCAATATGAGAAGGAATCTTGGAACATGAAACAAATTATCTGCATGATTTTTCCCCCTTTGTATCCACAAATTCCTCTAAAAAATCTGATGATGAAATTTGCCTTCTCACTCGGTATGCAAAGTTAAGTAATTGTGAAGGAGGGAGAAAAAATCTTTTTTCAGATGATAGTAAGTTAAATATAGTTGACACATTAGGGGCTGAGTGAAGCATGCAAAAAAGGGGGGGAGAATATCATGGAAAAACACTGCTTCTTATGGAAAGTTAAAAATGGCTAACTTATTAGAGGCAAAATAAAAGTAATGAAAGTTCAATATCATGCAATTGTGCATAAGTACTTAAGTGAGCATAAGAGCATAAAGATCAAATATGTTGCACATTCTGAATATCACACACACACAAAAAAAAAAAAAAAAAAAAAAAAAAAAAAACACCACTCTCTCTTTTCTGATTGACTCTTTCTATTGTTAAATAATGAACAATCAGGAATCAGCAATAAAGACAGAAGTATGTATGTTCCTCACATTATGTAAAAGCACTGGGTCCTAGACATACCAGATTTTGAACATACATAACATGCGCACTTCAAAGCCTGAATTTTGAATTTTTTAAAATTTATTCCATATTTTCCGCAATTTAATGAATTATTAATAAAAAATTGAGTGACTTCAAAGCAGTGTGTTGCCAATCTACAGAGTATAAGATAATTCTATATCAGATTTAATCAATAAACTCAGCTATTTAATACAAATATATTACTGCTGTCTGAAATAAAATATTTTTATCATACATGTGCCTGAATACTTCCATTTGCAAAGCATGAGTTATTTAATTTTTCTTTCAAATTAATTTTGTCATTAATTAACAAACTAAAAGATTTTAATGAGCAAAAATGCAGATTAATCCCCATTAATTGACACTAGCTGGATTAATTAAAATCAGTAAAATATCCTATGTATATTTTATTTTTTATAGTAACTTTTTCAGGCAGGTAGTAAATTAAATATGATAAACATTTTATAGGAAGATACATATTAAATGGATGACATGAGATTGTTAATTGTGTAATCAAAATAGTTTTAAAATTAAACACATTAAAATGTTAAAAATCTGCTGATTAACTTTGTTACGTCTAGCAACTTATCTTTTGATTTTGGGGACTGGCCAAAGTCTCAGTTTTAACTAGGAAATGCCATAAATTTTTTAACTACAAGTTTTAAATTTAAGATTGATTTATATTTTTCAATACTTTCTTTTTAGTGTATAAATTTTAATTTATTATAGTCAATTATATTATCAGTATAATATTAATTTATGTTGTATTATTATTTCATATTAATTTTAAATTATATTAATAAAAATGTTTAAATATTATAATTGATATTTTTATTTAATTCATTATTATAATATTTTATTAATAATAAGTTGGTATGATCAATTATTGTTATTATTTTATAAATAGTAATTTAGTATAATCAATTATATTTATTATAGTAATATAATTATAATTGTATTTATTATAGTAATATAATTATAATTGTATTTATTATAGTAACATAATTACAATTTAATTTATAAAGATTCCTGCCATTGGAGAACCCAAACTGAAGTTGGAATGTGTTCAGGTTTTTCCTTTGTTTGGAAATGTGATGTCAATGCAGTCCGTGCGACTTGCTGGATCATCCAGAGATGCCCTGCTTTTGAGTTTTAAAGAAGCTAAAGTGAGACTTTTGAATAAGTGTTAAAAATTTTCTCCTGTATTTATTATTTTTTCAAACACTTTTTCCCCCCTCTCAATTTTAGTTATCCTTGGTTGAATATGATCCATCGACTCATGATTTGAAAACTTTATCTCTGCATTATTTTGAGGAAGAGGATATGAAGGTAATTATTATATTATTTGAATTAATTTTCTGAAGGTGTAAATGAACATGTTTTTATCAAATCTGTATTGATCACTTTGACATTCTGTGTGTAAGTTGGTCCTTGAAAAATGCAAGTTTGGTCTGTGAAAATCATAATATGCAATTTTTATATATAATTTATATGCAACCTTTTATAAAATTTTTCTATATATTCAATTGCAATATACAGGGTGTCTGAGAAGTCCCTATACCCCTGGTTGGAATATCATAAAAAGCTGGATGTTCAAGAAATCTCCATACCTCTGGTTGGAATACCACAAGGGGAATTTTAGTTTACTTATTTGATAATTATATATTATAGTTTATTACTTACATACGTGAACAATGTATCCAATACATATGCTCCATTGTGCTGTAGACACAAATGTATCCCTGTGTCCTCCTTTTGGAGCAACCGAGGGCTTATCCTTCGAAAATTTTCTTCTGCACTTTCATGTAATTTTTCATTTGTCCTGTACCAACAGTAAGAGACATGTGACATGATTATTCCCCAAAATGATTTGTCTGGTGTGGAAAGGTCCAAGTTTCATGGAGGCCATTTCAGTGGGAGTGGAGATGTTTGAGAACTAGGCCCAATCCTGCAGCCTGGAAACTGTTCATTAACAGCAAAATGCACTAGAGCTCATCTGCTGTACCCAGACAGGATCCATGACTCTCATTTGCAACTGAGTTATTAGCTCATTTGGAACATATGTAAATAAGAATGCCCAGTTACACATTCATCAAGAAACATGATTCGATTACACTGATATTTTTCTCTTTGATATTCAGACGTAGGAGACTGGAACTTCCTGGCCACTCTTTAGAACTGTTTCTAAGAAATGATGGAAAACTGCATCAGCAAAGGTGAGGATAAAGTATACAAATCATAAAAGTTAATTAGTATCTCACAGCTTCTGTAGTCAATGCAAGATCAAAATGTAGCAAGGATCATTAGGTGTTCCATGCTCATTTATCAAGCAAGTTTCTCTTTCAAAACAAATTGTAGTAAATTTTGCTTGTTATATTCAGTTACATTATATAAAATGCTTGGAATCCTTCTTTGCAAGCTGTATAATTGGATTACAGACTTGAAAAAAAGAAAAAAAAAAAAAAAAAAAAAGAGTGAATACTTGACATATATGATGTTGGTTAGCCAGTTATATGTGTACAGTGGAACACATCTGGATATAGCATAGTATGATTTTTGTCAGTTAGTCAAAAAAAAAAAAAAAAAAAAAAAAAAAAAAAAATTAAGCAACTTTTAAAAATTTGCAAGAAATAGTTACAAATTTCATAAAGCCACATTTGAGGGAAAAAAAAATTGCTTTGTTTGATGGTCCAAGCAATCAAGTTTTGATAGTTTTAGTTTGTTCATAAATGGAGATATGTGCAAAAAATTATTTAAGCATTAAATTTAAAAATAAATTGAGTTTTGGAATTTACCACATTGCTTTGTCATGGACAAACTGTATTTGTGTAAAATTTGACCTCAAAAGCTTATCTGTAAGTTAGTCAAAAATCAATAACAGAATTCTGACCATAGTGAAACTCCATGAATGAACTAAATAATAGCTTATAAAAAATGAACTATAAACATACATCTCCAATGCATCCAGCACATTAAACACCAAGTTTCTCACCATTGTGGATAATCGTATCCTCTAGGTAGCACTGACATGCAAATAATATCTTACGAATATCATATTCATGTGGTTTCTCACAATGTGCATAAGTACATGTACCCTTTAAACCACTTTTCCACGCAAGTGACTGTTTACACATATTGCATTCATATAGTTTCTTTCCACTGTGCACAGTTGTCTTTCTAAATCACTTCTGAATACGAATTATAATAAATATCGCATATGTGTAACTTCTCATCAGTATGCATAAATATTTTATCTTATCAGGTTCAATGTTCCTTCTAACCTTCTTCGGAAACATACAATGACCTGACTAGGAACAGAGAGCTTACTAAAGCTATGTTCACTAATTGTAGTAAGTAGACAGGATACAGACGAAGGGTATACAAAACCCTTTATTTTTTTTTATATACAATGACTTCCGTACTTCGGAATACAATGACCCTCCACTCGGGGTCTAACGTAAAAGATATCAAAATAAAACTAAACTCTAATTTAACTTTAGAACAATATACGTGGAAGATTGGCCTTATAATAACAGGAAGCGTATGTAGCACAGAGACTGTGAACACTACAATACGTTTAATTTATCAAGAGGATTAAAACCTCTGGCCTGGAAGGCAAATAGCAACTGCGTAACTTCTAAGGTAAGCGGCCTGCTTCGAACTCACTGCTTCCTCTCTTTTGCTTGGCAAAAAGCCACAACTTAAGTACTTGGCGTTCGCCAGACAAACTTTGCATAAAATCCTTCACGCTTATAATTCTGGCCGGAAGTAGAAAATAAGAAGTGATAGTAAAGATTTAAAATAAAATAAACGTTAGTAAAACTTAAGATCCTTACATACTTCCCGCCAGAGTTAATTAGTTTGAAACTGAGGTCTAAAACGACCTTGTTGAAAACTTTTAGCTCTAGAATATAACGCGAGGCCAACCTTTTACAATCATAACTTCGTTAGAAACTAGAAAATTTAAAAGAAAGAAATTTGTTACAATAGCAGCTCCCAGGATCTACAACAATCTTTTTTTTTTTTTTTTCATCTGTACTGCATCTAAACAGGAGCTTTATTCAATTCTGGTTCCTTCCAGAGATCTGGAAGGAAAACTAGTTTAATGAAATGTTACACAATGACATTGCAAATAACATATAGAATATACTTCTCTTAACATTCTTATTTCATTCATGACTATTTTAATTATCTCTCCCCGTGCTCTCTGACATGTGTTGTAAAAGAACACCAAACACGAATGTGTTTATGTCTATGTGTTCAAAACTTCCTCCTACAATCAAAACACTAACGTGTTAAAATTCAACATAACGAGACCTCTTAACACACCCTACTTTAACTTCAACTCTAAACCCTGAGGTACTATTCTAAAAGTGGCTAACTCTAAAGTGTAGCGTCAGAGAGCCTAACTACATCATTCAACCTTTAACCACATATTCGCCATGATTTAATCTTTACAGTCACACGAATAACAAATTTTTTAACATACTTACTTTCACTTTACCATATCACGGTATTTCTTAACATTTAAAATAACAGAACATATCAACATGCCGTTAATTTTACAGATTTGAAAACATACATTAGTAGTACATTGTTAACTTCTATTCTTTTCAAAGCAAGTGCCAATTCTTTCTACATTGAAATAATACTACATTTCAAAAAGTCTTTCAGACTAAAACTTCTTTCTTGCTAGAATGTTTTAAATAAAATTTATACAATAACTTTTTACAATATTTAAGTCTTTACACACAACGCTATTATACATCAACTTTAGTTTTACGCGCGAGTAATTGAAAAACATAATAAGAAAATCGGTCACAACTCATTTCTCGCCCTTTTGGCGATAAAGGTAGACCTCGCATGAGGTAAAACTTCTTGAAATCTGCCACTTGCAGTAAGAATGAAAGATTAACTTAAGTTTGCAACGTAACATAAAATTTTACTTATCTTTGTAATATTCGGACATCCTTTTCTGGGCCCAGTCTTTAAAGGTATAGCAGATAGTAGCTTGGTTGATCCTCCTTCTTGTACGGGCTCGCCCTTCAGTGCTTTCCTCTGGAAGCTTCCGTTTTTCACCAGTATGGCCACCCTTGAACACCTTCCTTTTGTCCTCTGCTTGTGGTCTTGGCCGTTTGAAGGCAGCTGGTCTTGGTGGAACCGTATGTAGCACAGAGACTGTGAACACTACAATACGTTTAATTTATCAAGAGGATTAAAACCTCTGGCCTGGAAGGCAAATAGCAACTGCGTAACTTCTAAGGTAAGCGGCCTGCTTCGAACTCACTGCTTCCTCTCTTTTGCTTGGCAAAAGGCCACAACTTAAGTACTTGGCGTTCGCCAGACAAACTTTGCATAAAATCCTTCACGCTTATAATTCTGGCCGGAAGTAGAAAATAAGAAGTGATAGTAAAGATTTAAAATAAAATAAACGTTAGTAAAACTTATCCTTACAATCTCACATATTTTTGTTTGCAAATGATCTCCTACATATGACACATTCATGTGTTTTTTCACCAGTGAGTGTACTGTATGCAGATAATTTATTACATCTATCATATTCATGCTGTTTACTGCCTACAGTGGCCAAGTGGTTAAGACAGCTGAATCCTGGTAGTTCAGTCTGGCTTGGGTTTAAACCTAGACAAACAGGCTGGCTGCATGATTGGTTTTCATGGCTTTTTCCATATGTAAGATGATTAGGAGCCACTTTCCCTCACAAAGTCTTTCATGAAAGTATCCCTTCTCTTAGGCAGTTAGCTCTTGTGCCTTTGCCATGTTCAAATAACTCATTTCATTTATTAGTGTGGATAATCGTGTGTTGTTAAATGATATTTCATTTCAAATTATTTGTTATAATCAGTTTGTCATTTGAACAGCGGTGGGAACATGAAATAAATGTACTATATTACTTTGAAATTAAGGATTAGGATTTTATAATTAAAAAACTGGAAGAATGGTAAAAAATAGCAATCCTTTAATTTAAATGCAGAAGTAGGTTGTTAAAACACAAACGGTGTTTACACATTTTTAGAATGATCCATTTAATTATGTTTAAAATGTAAAGAGTACTTTTTTAAATAATTGATCTGATAGCCTTTTCCTGGTTTGTAAGTCTGCATCATGATTTCCTTGATGGAAGGTTTTTACAATAAAATTTCCATGGGGTATCGATTTCCATTACTCTTCCACTTCTTTTCAGAGTCCATCCATTGTGGTAGGTTTGCACTTAGAAAGAACTCCCTTCAAGAGACCAGGGGACGTAATAAGAATATGTTGAAAATGGGTATGTATATATGCACTACCTCATCAGTCTTCATTTTTTTTCAAGAAATGCAGTTTCAAAGTATTATTTGTTTCTTTGTCTTGATGAAGTTTCACTCTTTGAAAGTCATTGGAATAAAGAACTGGAATTTTTCCTGTAACTATTGGATGTAAAACTTTCTTTTGACAGTAGATTTGATTTTAATATTTTTTCTTTCCTCTCTCCTTATTTTTAATTTGTGATTGTAAGAGAATCCTTTGACAATCATAAACTCCATACTGAAACTTCCTTAGCATTGACAGAATCAGGTTTGTACATTTGTTTTCTCTATGTTTTCAATAATAGACTTTTTTCGTTTTTGTTTTTTGTTGCAGTTATTTAGGTAAATCTGTATTTCATTGAGGGTCACATTGTATTTGCATTTATTTTCTGCTAAATAGTTTTCATACAGGTTTCTATAAATTGTTCAGCATTTAGCCACATGCCTTGGGAAAAGCTGGTGAACATTATGTTTTTTTTTTTATTATTATTATTGTTGCAAATATTGGTTTATTATTGCTACAGGTGTATTTAAAGTCTTTGCAACTGATTTTTGCTTCAGTGGATTTTTTTTGTTACCAATGATTTAATGTTGAAAATGTATGCACTTTTTGCGTGTCCATTTGGAGTCTTCTTTCCCATGCAGGTGCAATGATTGATGGTTTTTCTCTTTCCAATTAATAATGTTGCCTATTTTGTACTTAGAAATTTTAGTATAATACATTTCACAGTGATTTTGAATTATGGAATAGGATCCATCAATCCACAGCTTGTTTAAGTATGATAATTGAAATGGGTTTAGTTTAAAAGTAGGAAATGATATTTCTCATTTCAAATTAATAAGCTGTCATTGGAAATTTTTGTTCCAAAATATTTATTTTTTTAAATATAATTCTTTATTGCAGTTGTTCTAAAAATGTTTAAACAGCCTTTGTATTTGCTTTTAATTTAAACCACATCCTGATATTACATTTGTAAAATCTGAATTCAAAATAATATAGTAGTTTGGGACTTAATGTGATAAGCTGAAAAAAGAAATGTTACCTGGGCGAAAACTTAAAGAAGATTGCATTACATTCTGTCATTTGACACATTTTTGAAATTATTAGTTGTACTTTTTTATCCTGTGTTATTTGTTATTAGTAGTTGTCAGTTTATAGTTTTTCTTTTCTTCCATATTTAGTACTAGCAGCTTTGCTGCCAGCCTTCATCTGGCTTTTAAATGTACCGGAAAAATGGCTGAAGGGAACACCAAACGTTAAATTTAAAAACTGCATAGAATTTTACTCTGCAGAACA